ACAAGATGATCCTTGCTACCACACTTAAAGCACCTTCTTGATTCATCCTTGTTCCTTGATGATGACTTCTTCCTTCTAGCATGATAGCCCTTCTTCATCATGAATTTGCCAAATCTCTTCACAAAGAGAGCCATCTTCTCATGATCAACTTCATCAAAGCTTGAGTATTCATCTTCACTTTATGTTTCTTGCTTTGCCTTGCCCTTGGTGGATGATGTGGCTTTGAATGCCACAATCTTCTTCTTCTCATCCTTCTTGTCATCTTTCTTCTCCTCTTTCATATCATCATCTCTATAAGTGTTATCGGTCATCACATCTCCTAACACTTGGTTTGGTGTCATGGTGTCCAAACCACTCCTCACTAAAATAGTGACCAATGTGCCAAATCACGATGGTAAGCATCACAAGAACTTGTAGGAGAATTCCGTGTCCTTCACCTCTTCACCAAGTGCTTTGAGATCATTAACAAGCACTTATAGCCTTGGAACATCTCCGGCACACTCTCATCTTCCTTCATCTTGAAGCTTACAAACTTCTCCTTGAGGATGTATGCCTTTGCACCCTTCACCATTTGAGTGTCCTCAAATAATTCCTCCAACTTCTTCCATGCCTCATGAGTTATCTTAATGTTCTTGATTTGCTCAAATGTTCTTTCATCCACGGCATCATGAATGGCACTAAGAGCAATATCATTGTTTTGGAGCAACACCACTTTTGGCTGTGGTGGGATTTTCTCTGGATTAGCAACCTCAATCTTTGTCTCCACCACCTTACACACCTTTATATTAATTGACTTGATATAGGTGCTCATCTTTGCCTTCCAATAAGGATAACAAGAGTAACAAGCGTAACAAGCGAAATCCGCAGTGAAACACAATCACCAAGTGCCTCTAGATGCAATCACTTAAAGCAATGCACTTTGGATGCTCTCCAATCTCACCAAATGATGAATCAATCAATCTAGATGAGTGAGAGAGGAATGGCTAAGTTCACTAGGGTGTATTCTCAATAGAAATGGCCAAAAGGGTGAGCCCAAGCCAACCAAACTACTTATATAGGCACCCCCAAGAAATAGAACCATTAGGGTCAAGGTGGGGTGCCCCTGCGCACTGACCGGATGCGCCGGTCGCATTGACCGGACACAGCAACCCCAATGTCCGGTCACGCATCCGTCGCCATGTCTCCACACTTTAAACCTGTGCCGCCCGATCCCAACAATCAAAACGAACACGTCGACGCCTTAAGTCAAGACCGTACACGCCAGGAGGAGACCAGACGCGCCCGAGCCACGTCAGGTCACACTCACGCCCACGCCTTCAAAGCCAAGGATCAAACATGTCGTAATACGATTGGACTCAGCAGCAGAGCATGTCATATCATTTCCAGTAAGCATCCAGAGCCGGTTTTTATGACCGAACGCGTTAGATCACGCATGACCGGATACGCTGTCGAGTCCAGTCTCTCCCTACCTCCGCTGCTAGCCCTACGTAAGTGTACTACCTGACCGGACGCACCCCCTATGTGTCCGGTCCTTCCTCTTCGCCAGCGTTCGGTCAAAGGACCGAGAGCGCTCTTTACTGTGAGTAACTAACCGGACACAGCTGCCTAAGTCCGGTCACTGCCAAAGTAGCATTCGGTCACCTTAGGACAACTCCTCCACTTCTTAAACTTCTCCACCCTTGCTCAAATGTGCTAACCACCAAGTGTATCACCTTGTGCACATGTGTTAGCCAATTTTCACAAACATTTTCAAAGGTGTTAGCACTCACTAGAATCTAAATGTATATGCAATGATTTAGAGCATCTAGTGGCACTTTGATAACCGCATTTCACGACGAGTTTCGTCCCTTTTAATAGTATGACTATCTATCCTAAATATGTTCACACTCTCTAAGTGTCTCAATCACCAAAACAAAATGGCCCTATCAAATATACCATTGCCTTGAGCACATTTTATTTTTATCTTTCTTCTTTTCCAAGCTTTGAGCACTTGATCATCACCATGGCCTCCACCATCATCATGATCATCATCCACTTGCTCCACCACTTGGATTAGTACTAACCTATCTCATGATCACTTAGAGAAAAGGGTTAGTACTTAGGGTTTCATCAATTCACCAAAACCAAACTAGAGCTTTTAGTACCCCATGGTATGCATTGTCAAATCACAACCTATACTCCATGTTAAAGCTCCATTGAAGCACGCTCCCGATTATCAAGTCTCTTCCGATCACAATGTTTGCCACTTGATTTCTACTAGGGTGTTAGACTGTACACAAGACCTCCACCAACCAAAGATAGTGTCATGAGTCACCCAGTCTCACAATTTCCACCATTGGCACCTAATTTGGTCACCGTGTCAAATTACAAACAACCAAAGGCAGGTGTGAGTCACCTAGTCTCACAACCTCCACCTGATCCTAGTCACCTTGACGTTGTATCCACTATGGAGATTTTCTCCACATGAGGGAAGGAGTCTCCTCATCCCCTACACATCGATATGACGCCGCTCCACACTGAAAAATGGAGGCTCACCGCCTTGAAGGCTACCACACTTTCATCAGAAGTCCACATAAACCTCAAGAGCTATAGGTCGCTAGGACACACGGGAAACATGTCTCAGTCACTCAAAATCTTGAGTTCCAAGGCCTAAACTTCACAAAGATGAACTATGGTGCATATCCTACCCTTAGATGTGATCTTGAGTGGGGTGGATAGAGTATACAAATACTTTCTCTAACTTGTAATCCTTGGAAACCGCACCATACTCAAGAAAGTGAGGCAACCTCATATGTCAACTTCTTCCAACTGCCGGTCGGTCCGATGCTGTACTTTTCTTCTTCTTTTGGACCATCCGGTGCACGCAATCTTCTCTGATGAGCAACAAAAGATCTATTGTTGTGCACTTTCTTCATAGAATCATCCGACACATGCCTTTGCATAGTGTCACTTAGTGGCCAAGTCTTCTGATGCTGCGGATGATCCATCGGCCTTCTGCCTTCATGCTGGACTGTCCAGTGAGTGCTCTAGCACATATTCCAGCGTGGAAAATTCCTTTGGAACCTTCTCTTCTTCAATTGCCCGATCTATTTTTTCTTGTGTTTATGGTTATAGGTTTTGGGAGGAATCAACTCACTACAGGTAGAATCTATAAATATACATAATCCTTGTTTTGTGTTTTCTCATAACCCAGTTGCACTTGGGGAAAGACCGGCCACATATCTGGTCAATAAGAACATCTAGATGATTTGGCTCTATCCAGATAATACATGCCTACAATCTGTTGCAAGTTCTAGAAATTTTAGAACGCGTATTCAAATCCCACCATGCTCTAGGCAATAGCTCAATCCTTTCATAAGCATCACACATGTTTATGTATTAGTAATATCAGAAGTGTCATAAAAGAAAATAGAAGTGAGTAATTTATTAGAATCATATATAGAGGGAATTTGTACTCTGGGTTATTCTTTTGATAATGATATATGCGGACAATTTAGATGCAAAGAGATTATTTTATAATGTAAAATCCATTTTCTAACCTCTAGCTTGCATGGCAATCAATTTTCAACTCTAAACTATGAAACCGGGTATGGGACACCCTTCAACTCTTGAAACCAGACAAAAATTGGTTCTGTATTTGGTTTCAAAGGTGATTCTATTTTTCTAAAAATAATAAAAATCTAGTTTAATCTCTAAAAATGTATAACTAATTTATCTTAAATCAGAAAAAATGAAATTGATACCATTTTTTTCTAAAACCACTTTACTTATTTTTTTAATATATTGACAATGGTAATTTAGATAGAATTTAGGGGTTGTGGCATTTTATTTCCATTATGGCGGAGGTGGATAATTTTAAAACAAATTAAATCCAATTGTTACTATTGATAATGATGATTAATGTATATAAAATCGATGGTTGGTTATTTGTTTTCATAAGAAACTATATTTTTTTCTAGTGCTTCTATTGAGTATTAGTGTGAAGGCTCTAAAAATCTTCAATTAGAATGAAATTTAAAAGAGATTTTGTGAAAACCTGAGAACACACTGGCCCTTCCAGTACCCCCTATCCTTATCTATGAGTACCCTTTTGCATGAGGCTGGCCAGCATGCCCAATTTCCTAAGTGCCTGTTTGGGTCCTGGGTCCTTGAATTGAATTCATTCTAATAATTACAATTTAGCTTTAGATTAATTAAGTTAATATAGTTGTATATGAAATATATTTGTATATTTATTGTTAGGTATACAAGGGACATAGTTATATGTTGCATTTCTATTGTAGGAAAGTGAGTTGAAAAGTGTGCTATAAGTTAGAGAATAGAATTATAGCATAGTGATCTATAGAATCTATTTTCATCTCCCACCCTATGAATTTGAGATAGGCTTATTTGTGAGCTTGAAAAAGTTATGAAATGTCAAATTCCAAACAAAATAGCATAATCCATCGTGTAGATTTCAATTCCTCCAAAATAAAGGGATCCAAACGGCCCCTAAGCAAAATGTCATTTTCAGCTACCCATTTGTTAGATAACTTGCACATAATCTTTCGGCTTGGGTAGTGCCATCCCATACCAGCATCTACGAGATAAAATTCTATCTACTAAAATACCCATATCCACATGAATAAAATTACTTGGGTCCCGTACCCGAATGCATACCCACTAAAGACCAAATCATATATTAAACTGTCAAATATTTATGAATTAAAATGAACAATAATAACATATACCAGTAAAACTTAACTAATTAATATATAGTTAACAGTCATATAGATCTATTGGATACATATATCATAGTCATATATAGACACATCCTCTCTCTCTCCCCCCGATGATTTTTATCCATGAGCATATCCATGGTGAAGAAATCTTTCCGTATAGGTCTTTTTATATCAAAATGAAAAAAGAAAAAAAAAAGACTCGATTGCCGCCAAAACAGCAGCGTTTTCCCTCCATCCGTGTCTCACGCTCAAACTGGGCCACGGAATCTGTTGGGCCGAATGGCGCATAGCTTTCGTGGTCGGCACAACGAGCAGGAGCGAAGCAACTCCACCTTGCGATCTGCGATGCGACTTGGACGTGGCTCAGCATCGAGTGCCGGCTCTGACGTAGATTGCTTGTACGGATACGCCAGAGCATTCGGTTCCAATCTCCTCGTCCTCCCCGTCTTCGTCCACACCTCGCCGCCGCCAGACATCCGACGACCAGCGACGAGGTACCGCTCGCATTCCCCTCTGACCCCAATATAACGGCATGCGTTTGCATTCCTTTTGTATTTGTCTTGGCCGGTGGATCTCGCTGGATGCAAGCGCTAGTCTTGGACCTATTTTGTTATTGTGGGAACTGGTCCCTGCCTCTAGGGTGTGGGTTGGCTGTTTAATGTTCTAGGTTCTTCGTCATTTGCCTGAGTTTCAATTGATCTTGACGCAGATTAGATTTTCTTAAGGCTCCGCGCCTTAATTTCAATTGATCTTGAGAGCATAGGGAAATGACCGCATTGTATTAATTTTCTGCTGTAATTGTCAACTAATTATGATTGATGGATTTGTGGTGTGGCCAGGGACGGCGAACCTTTGCAGCAATCATTTGCCATGTCTACGGCACTCAAGGCTTTCCTCAACAGCCCTGTCGGCCCCAAGACCACCCATTTCTGGGGTCCCGTTGCAAACTGGGGTTTCGTCATTGCGGTAAGCTGTAATCATATCCTAGTTTGCGTTTCCGTTCCATTACTATGTACTTTCAACATCCCGTGTTTCTGCATTGTAGCTGCAACAACGGTCTCACTTTGCATCAGAGTACTGCTGCTAGTTCTGTGGTAGTTTATCCAACTAAGGAATTCCGATGAATAGTTTTCTGCTAGTTAGATAATGAAATTTAATGATAAATGTCAGTAATTTCATGTTTTGTATTCTGATGCCATTGTGATAAATGATAACCTGAAAAATGCTGATTTTGGGACCATCTTCCTTGTAGAATATGTGGCTGTGACAGGACTAGTTGTGTCTACATGTGATTATTTTATCTTGTATTAAAAGTGCAATATTGCTGTTAGTTACTTGAGAGCTGAGTCTCGAGAGAGTTCTGCCTTCTTAACAAAGATATGGTCTCGATGGAGCAATTTTATCTGATCACACCTATTGGGTCATTCAATGTACAGGATAAAGTATATTAGGTCACCGCTAGACTGATAGTACTTGAATTGAATCAGTGAGGCACAATATCTTCTCCTAAACTAGAGCCACTTCAGATAAAGACATTACTTCTGTAATTGTTCTGCAGTTGGCTGGTTATTGCCTGCTAGGAATGAAATGGATGCAAGTTCCTGTATTCGCAAAACATAATGTAGTGAATTACATGTTCTCCCGCAAAAACATCTGGCATATTCCATTGGGTACAATACTTTCTTCTATGCACTAGTGACATAATTCTCTTGGGAGTTCACCTTATTGGGTTATTCGTTTAACAGAGCTTTACTAAGGATCACACTGAAATGACATTAGTGGTCAAGGGATCATGTATTCATGTCCATTCTAAATAGAGTAGAACTACATGTGCTCTTTCATGTAGTAATTAGTAAATACATGGACCAATGGACATGGCACCAGGATTGATCATTTCAAGAATGCTCTTTAGAGTTCTCTTTATTCAATAAAAGAAAAGAATTATTCGGCACATTTCAGATGTACTGTTTGCCTGCTGGTTACTACTCTTTTAGACATAGTAGCTTCGTGCTCTCTTGTGTTGGGGGCAAACACATGCTTTAACTTCCATGTTACCTGTTGATGACCTGTGTACCCTTTAACTCTTGGATGATATCACTTGGTGAAGTATATAACATTATCAGTCAAGTGGATATATGCTCACTCTTTTAAAAAAAACTCTGCGTGCTGTGGCTTGAAGGAAGTCACTAATTATGTGGCAGAAACGTATCCTGTTCGGAGTTACTATTCTACTGAATAGAAGGAAAGAGCATTGAACCCAACTCATACACTCTTCTAGGTTGACCGTTTGTCTTGTAGTCCTAACTAACACTCTAACAGTTTATGTGGGCCAAAACAAATTTCTGCATCTAGTATTTTCAGAAGGAAAATTATGATGGGATCACACAAATCTAAGTTCTATAATTTTTTTTGTGAATGTCAACTAGATAAATGTTTTGCATGTAGCTTCAATATCCTGTCTGAGTTGAATATGTTAGTACCTTGATCTTTTGTACTCTCATGACCCATCCTCGGCAATGTTGTTCAGTGTTCAGCACAGCAGTATTGCCCTCTGATGGGCTATATTTGTTGCATTGCCAGGGTTTGGTTGACATGAACAAACCTCCTGAAATGATATCTGGCAATATGACAGCAGGTAGATGAAAATAAAATAATTGGAAGTTTTCAGTTGCAGCAGCCATATGTGATGTATACTAATCAAACAGTTCCATTTGGTGCAGCCATGTGCGTGTATTCAGGCCTCTTTATGAGGTTCGCATGGATGGTACAGCCACGGAACTACTTGCTTCTGGCATGCCATGCCTCCAATGAATCAGTCCAGCTTTACCAGTTATCTCGGTGGGCCAGGGCCCAGGGGTAAGCTTATCATTTTTGTAACAGAAATATTTTTCCCCCTCTAGCCACAGTAAAACAATTGTAATTGAACATGTCTCATTGTGATGATGGATTTGTATGCTAATCATATCATATTATTAGGCCCATCTCTTTATGCAACCCAAACGACAATACTGAATGTAATTTAAAGCATGGCTTCCATCTCGCAGGTACATGGAGAAGAAAGAACCAGAGGCTCAGCAATGAATTGGGTGGAGTATAGGCCTGCATTCACCAATCAATGACAATAAGAGTGATCTGCCGCTGCAGTTTTGAATCCTCACTCTGGCAGACAAATCCCAGAAAACCTCTTCTATAGTTTTATGGCATATGCAGTGTTATAATGCTTTCCCCCATCATGCTATGGTGCTCCTGTTGCAGAATCTCACTTCACTTATGATCAGAGTTCGCGTCTCGTTTTTCTTTCTGATTTGATGGTTGTAAAAACACACATCACATGTGTTTGAACATGGTGATCCCAGCTTCTGCACCCTCATCGCTGTTCGCCAATCATCCCTGCAGCTGTAGCACAGACCACATACATATCTGTGGCAACCCTTGCTGTGGGAGAGGGTTGCCGGCGAGCACGCACGGCAATGAGCACGGCGTCGCCGTCTCGAGCAGGGAAGCCACGGAAGGAAGAAGAGAATTGGGAATTGGTTTGCTATTTTTCGCTGACCACCCGACCACCCTCACAGCGAGTCTTAAGGTTCAATAATCCGTGGGCCTTGGCCCGATACAACCTTGCGGTCCACATGCCATCTCAAGTGAAAGCTCAAATCAACTAATGGTAACTATAAGCAGTCTGTGACATCCCCCCTAAGCAGCATTGTGTCCTCGCGATGTAGACGGAACAGAAGTAGCTGTAGCCGATGCAGACAGAGCTTGGGGCAGCGAGGCCAGCGGCTCCCATTGTGCCCTGTCCGACCAGTTGAAGTCTGGTACCCAACACTCGAGCTGGAGGCAAACTAATAAAAAAGAGTCAACAAATTGAGTTCATCAGCAGCAGAAACAGTCACCTGAGGAGGCACTGCCTTTTTCAGTTGAGACACATGAAAGGCGGGGTGAATTTGGCTTGAAGCCGGGAGCTATAATTTGTATGCCACCTGACCGATTTTCTGGAGAATGAGGTAAGGCCCAAAGTATTTGAAGCTCAACTTCTGATTAGCTCTATGTTGCACAGACTGTTGCACATAAGGCTGAAGCTTGACATACACCCAGTCTCCCACTTGGAATTGCCGTTCCTGACGGTTCTTATCAGCCTGATTTTTCATGCGGTGTTGAGCACGCTGCAAGTTCTGCTGGATATGATCAAGCATAGACTGACGCTCATGCAACCAATTATCCAGGTCATGTACAGTGCACACATCCGAGATACTGATGCTAAAATGCCGAGGTTTGTGTCCATACAAAGCTTGAAACGGGGTTAGGCCGTGAGCAGAATAATAGGTTGAGTTGTACTAAAATTCAACCAGTGGTATCCACTGAGCCCATTTGGTGGGACAAGACTGAACCATGCACCGTAGGTATGTTTCTAAGCATTGGTTAAGACGCTCAGTTTGACCGTCGGTTTGAGGGTGGTAGGCGGAGCTCATGTTTAAGGTTGTATCTGTGAGCTTGAATAACTCTTGCCAAAAGGAGCTAGTGAAGGCTCGGTCTCTATCAGATATAATTACAGTGGGCATGCCATGAAGTTTATAAATGTTGGCAAGAAATGCTTGAGCCACAGTGATAGCAGTATATGGATGAGATAAACAAATGAAATGTGCATACTTGGTAAGCTTGTCAATGACAACTAAGATGGTGTCATAGGTTTTGGATTTGGGCAGTCCTTCTATAAAATCCATGCTAATGGTGTGCCATGCAAATTGTGGTATGGGTAAAGGTTGCAAAAGACCTGGAAGCTTACTGTGTTCAGTTTTGGCCTGAGCAAATACCTGACATGCTGCAATGTAATCATGAACATCTTGCTTCATGTGAGGCCAAGCAAATAGAGATTTGACCTTTTGATATGTTGCAGTGATGCCACTGTGGCCACCTAACCCACTGGAGTGCAGAGCTAGCAGAATGGCTTGGTGAGCTTCCTTGTGATTACCTAGCCAAATCCTATTCTTGTATCTGATGACTCCATCTTGTAAGGAGAACCCTTTTTTCATTAGATCTAGTTAGAGCTAACTCAGCCAACAATTGCTTATTGTGTGCATCCTGGTGGTAGCCCTCAACTATAATGTCCAGCCACCTTGGTGTGATTGTGGATGCAGCCAACAACGTAGGTGAGTCAGGTTGTCTAGATAGGGCGTCAGCAGCTTGATTTTCCACCCCTTTTTGTGAATGATCTTGTACTGTAGTCCAAGCAGCTTGATGAAAGCTTTGTGCTGCATGCCTTCTAGTAACTTCTGATCACCCAAATGCACCAGACTGTGATGATCTATGGAAATGGTGAATTCCATGTGTTGCAGATATGACTTCCACTTGGTGACAGCCAAAATTAGGGCCATGCACTCTTTCTCATAAGTAGACATGGCCTGAGCCTTGGGTCCCAGAGACTTACTGATGTAGGCAATAGGATGATGGTTCTGTGAAAGTACTGCCCCAATGCCATTTGTTGAAGCATCTGTCTCAATATGGAAACCTTTGGTCAAGTCTGGTAGAGCCAACACAGGTGCTGACACAAGAGCATGTTTCAATGTATCAAAACAGAGTTGGTGATGTGGTGTCCAGTGAAACAGAGAATTTTTCTTCAGCAAATCTGTCAAAGGTCTACTGATGGTACCATACCCTTTGATGAATTTCCTATAGTAACCTGATAGGCCCAATAAACTTCTCAACTGTTTGGCATCAGCTGGAACTGGCCAGTTGCCAATAGCTTCACTTTTCTTTGGGTTAGTTGAAACATCTTTCTCACTGATGATGTGTCCAAGATACTCCAAAGATTGCTGAGCAAAGGAACACTTAGACATCTTCAAATATAGCTGGTGTTGGTGAAGAATGTTAAATACTTGGGTCAGGTGTTCTAGATGTTCATTGAGTGTCTTGCTATAAATGAGAATGTCATCAACAAATACTAGAACACACTTTCTGAGCAGGGGCTGAAAGATGGTGTTCATGAGGGCTTGGAATGTAGCTGGGGCATTGGTCAGCCCAAATGGCATGACTCTAAACTCCCAATGACCATGGTGTGTTCTAAATGTTGTTTTGGCTTCATTAGTTAGCACAACCCTGATCTGGTGATATCCTGAGCGCATATCCAGTTTGGTAAACCGCGCCGCACCATGAAGTTCATCAAGAAGCTCATCCACTATTGGCAATGGATATTTATCCTTAACTGTGATATTGTTGAGCTGGCGATAGTCCACGCAGAAACGCCAAGACCCATCTTTCTTTTTCACTAAGATAACTGGAGAAGCAAATGTGTTGTGGCTTGGTTTGATGATGCCATTAGCCAACATCTCCTTAATCTGCCTTTCTATCTCGTCCTTTTGAGTCAGAGAATAGCGGTACGGTTTCACATTGACTGGTTTAACACCTGGAATTAATGGGATCTTGTGATCAAAGGTCCTTTCGGGCGGTAAGCTTTTAGGGTCTTGAAACAGATCATCATTAATTTTGATCAGCTGCTGGACCTCTGTAGGAATGGTTGCAGCAGATGCTTCCTCTGCAGTGATGGGGGCACAGATGAACAACTTGGGCAATGCCACCCTTACGAACCAGTCCTTGAAATTTCCTGAGTTTGATCTTAGGACATGTGGAGGTGGAGTCCTTAATGCCTTTGAGACTAACGCGGGCACCCTGATATGAAAATCTCAATAGCTTCCTTTTCCAGTGTATCCACATGGGGCTATGTGATTCCAGCCAATCCATGCCTAGTACCAGATCAAAACAAGAGATTGACAGTACTCGAACTGAGTGAGTGAATGTTTTGCCCTGAGTCCACCAAGTAAAATCCTGGACTTGTTGATCACTTCTGAGTTTCTGCCCATTAGCAACTGTCACTAATACAGATGGAGCAGAGGTGACCGAGCACTGCAGAGCTTGCACTGTCTTGTCACTTATGAATGAACAGGAACTGCCTGAATCAATGAGTATCAGAATTTCTTGATGATTCACCAGGCCAGATAATTTGATGGTTTTCTTGCCTTGGACGCCCTCCACTGCACACTGAGACAAACTGAAAATTTCATCATCATCATCATCACTGGAATCTTCAGTTAAGTCATCCTGTGGTGGCTCAGTTTGCACAGCTTCCAGGAATTCTTCCAGAACATGCGGTGACACCTTGTCAGGGCACTTGTGATTTTTACCACATTTTTCACCACATTTCATGCACAAGCCTTGTGCTCTTCGCTGAGTTCTCAGAGCAGCAAGCTTGTCATCCCATTTAGTCTTGGCTTCATCCCTGCATGATTAGGGATTGGCCCCATGATTCCTGGCTGAGGATTGGGAAAGTGCCGCCCTTGAGCTCTGTTGAAGTCTCTATTTTGCCTTTTGAAGAAGGGTTTAGCTTGAGACTCCAGCACTGAGGCCTGCATGAGAACCAGAGACAGAGCCACATCAACAGTTCTAGGTTTATGTAAAAATGATGGCTGATCTAATGTCTGGGTTGAGACCCTGCATGAATTTGCTCACAAAAAACACATCATCTAGAGACTTGTTGTGAACTAACACCTTATGCATGGCATTTTGAAATCTATCATAATACTCTTGCACATCAGCTGTTTGTTTAATTTGCAAAAGGTCATGCATGGCATTGTGGTACAAATCTTTGCCAAACTTGGACTCAACCGCAATGCACAACTCAGCCCAACTAACATCTGAATCAAAATGTTGTGCTTCATGTCTGTAACCAAAGTTCAGCACTACCCTTAAAGTGTATGGTGGCAAACTGAGACCATAGATGCATAGGGATGTGATACATGTTAAAGTACTTTTCACACTTTTCACGCCAGACCTTAGGATGTGATCCATCAAACTTAGGGAACACAGCTTTAGGCAACCTAACCTCCTTCTGATAATGGCAAGGCATGTTTGTGTGATAGTATTGTGAAGAGTCGCCTAGGACAGTAGGGTGAGGTGGGGATCCAGTATACTGACCATTAGCCAGGGGTGGCTAGAGGACGAGAGTCCCCTTATCCAACCCCTGTGTAGTCGATTCGACGCCGGGGCCCTTGGCCCGCCCCTCTTCCTCGCGCGCCGAGGCCGAAGGTGGAGCGGGATGAGGTTGCGCTTCCAACGCCTCGATGCGCGATGTGAGATTCTTGACGTCCTTGCTGAGCTCGGTGGAGAAGTGGTCGACCTCTAGGCGCCATCGGTTGAAGGTCTCCATGAGCAACAGCATCGACTTCAGCTGTGCCGCGAGCGCATCCAATTTCTCCTCAGCAATGGACATGCGAGATGTTAGGGTTGGGGGTTTGGGTTTGCACGCCAGCGAGCTGGGGGTGGTAGGGGGTTGGGGTAGAGGCGGCGGTGCGGTGGCGGTGGAGATGGTGGTGGTGGTGGCGGCGATGATGGCGGCGGAGTAGGTGGTGGCGATGGTGGGCTAGCCGAGACAAGAGCGGAGCGGCAGGATGAAGACCCGAGTTGCAACAGGTAGAAGGTGATGGCTCGACGAACCAACCGAGAGCTCTCGTCGGAGATTGAGCAGATCGAGCAGGAAGCGGCGATCTCTCAGATCCCGCGACGTCTCGTTGGGATTTTGTGGATCTGGGTAGGATAGGAAGGGTAAATGGCTCTGGTACCAAATGTGGCAACCCTTGCCGTGGGAGAGGGTTGCCGGCGAGCACGCACGGCGATGAGCAGGGCGTCTCGAGCAGGGAAGCCACGAAAGGAAGAAGAGAATTGGGAATTGGTTTGTTATTTTTCCCTGACCACCCGACCACCCTCACAGTGAGTCTTAAGGTTCAATATTCCGTGGGCCTTGGCTCGATACAACCTTGCGGCCCACATGCCGTCTTAAAGGCCCTTTCAAGTGAAAGCTCAAATCAACTAACGGGACCTATAGACAGTGTCCATAATAAGTGATGAGTTTTGCTGTCAGACAGTTCATGATCCTGTATGCAGCCTGTATCTGGTCGACACCTTGCTGCTATATAATCATGCATTTCTGGAAAGAAAAGTCACACATTCTCCCCCCTCCCCCCGTGGTGGTGGAAACGAACCGACCCAAAAGGTTCTTCATGGGATGCCGTGCGAGGCTGTAGCTCTGGATCCATTGGGCGCCCCGTCCGTTTCAGGCTGTGCGGCCACTCCTACCCTTGCAGTTGCAGCTCGTCTCCGTTTCTCACGAAAGAGACAGGACCCGGGGCCCTGTGAAAGCGTTGTGAGCGGCGGTGCCAGCCGAGCCGATTCGTGTGTGATGGCCCAGCGCAACTTGTGTGCTGCCTTGCGACGTTGTCACGTTGCTTCGGTGTCGGCGTTTGGTGGTGACTAGGAGTAGCTGTAGATAGATCCTATGCCTATTCGCATTCGCCGTCGCCCCACATGGACGTCGGTGTCCCTAGCAAAGTTGCAGGAGCAACCTGGGAGTGAGGAGGTGACAGTTGTGGCACCGGCTGTTGCCTGTTGGTGTTGGACTGTTGGTTCAAGCATGTAACAGGCCTTTTTGGTCCGATGTATGTCAAAAAAAAGTGCAGTAAAATTTGATAGAAATCTGCATGGCCAAATAAGTTGAGGGTTTTTGGTTGGAAGCCTATGCCAGATAAGCCAAATGAAAGAGGATAATATATTTTTCTTATCCAATGTAGAGGTAAGTGGATAGTTTTTTTTTTCATAAAATGCTTATAAGTATATAAATAATATATATAACTCATTTAAAAAAACTAGACCAGGTTACTAACTGGAGAAGACGTGTGCTGCCTTGCAGAGTATAATGTAACTTCAACACATTTGATTTAATAAATAATACAAGGGTAAAATATTTTCTCAATAAGCAATATAAAAAGAGTCATAATCTAGGTTCCAAAATGAACTTTAATACTGATGAATGGTAAACGATCATTTCCCTGCCCTGGCGAACTTTGTTTGTGGGCAGTAAAAACAGTACATCAGCTACGATAAAAGAATCAGTACAGAAGCAGTGAATTAATACAAAATCAGCACAATTCATCATTACATGCTCAGGCAACCTTCACAGCCATCCGAGAGTATACTCTATTCATTCAAAAAGTATATATAGGATTTATACTGGTCAAACTTTTTAAGTTTAGCTAAATTTATAAAATAAATTAGTAATATTTGTATCTTAAAATAAGTTTATATATTATAAAAATATGTTAATTAGTTCATCTAATAATACTAAATACGCATTATAAATACCAATATTTTATTATATTTTTTATCAAAATTGAAAATGTTTTGATTTCTTCCTCCTCGGTCCCATACTACGAGGAAAAACCTGTCACGGTCAGCCGAGCACAGCACGTCGGCATCACGGCTATGGCGCTGTCGCGACGCCCCTCTCCGAGTCTCCGAGACGTCGTCACGGCGACAGGACCTCTCCTTCTTGTTACGAAGCAATCCGTTCATCAAGGAGAAGAACCAATAGGATTACAGAGATCCCATCCAACCAGATTAGTGACATGGATCAACCTTAGCCTTAGATCTAAATCCAACCATCGGTGTAATCTCTCCCCGTAATCACCGTAGTTTCAGACGGACTACTCCATCTTTCGGAACCGACATCACGGGATCGCTACCCGCTGGGAAGCCAGCGTATCCAGTGTCCCCCAACGCAAGGCCCCGACAACTCCCGTGGCGCCGCTTCAACTCAGTATAAATTGTGAGATCGATCAATGGAAAAGTATGGTTCGATTCATTCTTTCTCTCGATCACTACCGCTTTTAAACACGTTATCGCGACGATCCGAGAATCGAGAGAAGTTTTCACGAGAAAGGTGAGATGGATCCCAAACCTCACCGTCGATCATGACCGCCATTCTCTTCGAGTTCCCTCACCCGCCGCGCGCTCCTCGCTTCCTCGACGCCAGACGCTCTGGCGGAGAGCCGCGCCAAAGACTGTCGCGCGTTTTCGCCATCGCCGCCGCGGTCAGCCGCAGAGCCATCGCTGTCAGACTTTCGCCGAAGCGGGCAATCGCGCCACGCCTCATCGCCAACAACGATGCTCAAGCTTCAGAGCGGCGCCGCGGCACCAGCCAGCGGTCGCGACTCCACCGCCACCACCACGGCCGCGCCGCAACTCCTCTTCGTCTGCTGTCGCCGACCCTGTGGTCATTCACCCCGGTGGCGGACCAAAGGATTTGCCCACAGCCAGTCTGCTCGCTCCAAAGAAGGCCGCGGCAGCCCGCAAAACACACGGCTCCAAAGAACCGCCCCGGCGCACCCTGCGGGCTCGGCTCCAAGAACTCCTCCGTCGGTGTGGGCGCGTGCGCGCCCACCGCCCGCTGACCACCGAACCCGAGGAGTACAGCCCTGCCTCCGCCCGGCTCCGGATCTGCGACCTTCCAGAGGCTCTCCAATGGAGTCCTCCCAACCGGCCCAATGGCGAGGTGGCCCTCCCGTGAGGGGGCTACTCGCCCAACTAAGCGACAAGCGGGATCGGAAGGAGGCGGAGGCAAAGAATGGCGATTTACGGAACGACCGAAATGAGTCGGAGTGGTCGGATGAGTTCTCAACCTTATCCCCGCTAATAATTTATTTGCGTCGTCCCGCCTCACGTGTCGCATGTAAAATGTCGACATTGTGTGCTCATCCTAATAAAGTCGCTCTTGCTTGTGGTCGCCTCCGCATGTGACTTGTTTAGTAGTATATTCTAATTTGTGATCTGTGACTATGTTTAGTACTAGTGACTACAGATTAGTACTATCGCCACCATTCACTTCAAATCCTTCGGGGTTTTATCATGTAATTAGCGCCGCACATTGTGTCGGGACTCGGTTAAATGTTCAAAGTATTTGTTCGTGTGACAAATCCAATAGCATTTGTTCTCTGTTATTATTTTATTGCAATTATTTATATTTGTATTTTTGGAATACGACACAATTTTTAAGTCTACTTTAACTATGCAAAAGTTGAATACTTAAATAAATGTCACAATCACTTCACGTGTACCTTAAAGAAATAATATTGATATTTTAAATTTATTTGCCTTTGCAAATAAATAATTTATTTTATATGGTCTATATATTATGTCATCACATAATCATTACCTATAAAATGTTTCCAATATTTAAATTTCACATTAAATAAATCATTCTTGATTCAAATTTAATGTGCCATTTACTGATTCACATTTAAGTTTTAAATTTTACTTAAATATATTTTACATATATCTTACAACACATCAATTGCCTTACATTAAAACATTTATACAAATGTAGGCAAAATGTCCGAAGTTGTTGGCAAATTAAAAGACAAAGAATTTGACCAACTCGCACTTGATGGACATAATTTTCCAACATGGTCAATGGATCTCAAAGTTAGCCTCTCTTTACGGGATTTTATCATGCCATTCTTCCACCAAAAGAGGGTACTTCGCACACCGATGACAAAACTAAATATAGTGCCTTATACATCATAAGGGCTCATATACATCCAGACCTCAAGTCTGAATATTTGATGGAAGAAGATCCACGCACTTTGTGGAATGCTCTCAAACAACGCTATGAACAAAGAAAAGGCAATTGTCTTACGAAGCTTTGCATGAATGGAACCATCTCCGTCTATGTGATTTTAAGACTGTTGGAGAATACAATCATGCAATTCACAAACTTTGTGCAAAACTCAAATTTTGTGAGAAAGAGCCTTCTGATGCGGACAAAATAGAGAAGACTTTGTCTACTATGATGCCTGCAGATAGAATCCTTCACCAACAATACCGCGGAGCGAAATTTCCAAGTTTATTCTGAAGTTAATTAATACTCTACTTCAGGCCGAATCGGCATAATGAGATCCTTCTTTGGAACTCAAATAAACGCCCATTGGGTGCTGCCCCATTACCTCAAGTACACACAACCACTCGTAACACAAACAAACAGGATGGTGCCAACAGAAACCATTCAGAAATTCAAAAACAAAGGTAAAGGTAAAGGACAAGGTAACAATAACAAGCTTAAAAAGAGAGCAAAACCGCATGATTTTAACAAGGGTAAGGATATTCCTAAAAAGAATTTTGACAAATCCCAACTTTGTCAAAATGTGGTTGTTACAACCACATCACTAAGAAATGTCGCACTTCGTCACTTGGTTGACTTGTACTTAAAGTCCGTTGGTCGTGATCGCCCAAATCAAGGACGCAAGTACTGAAGCTCATTTCAACTTCCGAATGATGTTACGATGCAAGATGTTGCTCCGCACAACTTCACTAATGACATTAACATGGCGAAGCTAGTTGCTCCAAAAGTGTCCCCAATACAATCGAGCAACCACAAGACTC